TTCTAACACATCAACTTTAAGGACTAAACATTATATCCCTATATGCCTAATATATTCCACCCACTGACAGGTGCCATGATAACCAGATAATCAGTGTTATTCACATAACCTGTCAGTGCTTACAATGTTATGGCTGATCGGTGTATCTCTGTACTCTTGTCCTTTGATTATATTTGTTAACTGATGAAAATAAATAAGGGAATGATTGGGAAAAAAATGCTTTGACCCAGCTATCACTGACCAAAAAGAACAACTACAATGGCACAAATGTTGTAATTTTAAGTCCAATGCAGTATTAATGTTGGGATTACAGTGTGTGTGTGTTTGTATAGGTGTGTGTGTGTGTGTGTGTGTGTGTGTGTCTGCCTGCCTATATGGTCTCCACATAATTGGCAGGGAACAAGCCTTGACGGCCATCTTTGCTCCACCCCCTCCACCAGGCTTTGTCCACCGTTTCCACGTCCCTGATGATGTCACCGGGTTCAAAGGAGATCTCAGATTCGTCCTCTGTGGGAACCGCAAGATAACATGGTGAAGACCCACTAATCACAGTGTAATTACTGTAAGTGGAGGCACTTTATGCGCACATGCGTGGCGATTATCCTCTAAATGGCAGCTTACCTGCTTGGTAGTCATACAGAGCTCGGACACACATTTGCCGCTCAGCTAAAACCTGAAGTGGAGAGGAAAAGGGAGTAGGATAAATGCTGCAATCATGAAACACACACGTCACAGAAGACAGAAAATTGAATCACTTTCATGGAAACTTTCTTCATATGAACTTTAATTTGAAAAGATAAGGCTGGCATTGTAATTATTATTATGGTCAAAAAAGCTTACGAAAGGACCAAAACCATACATAATTTATCTTACTAACAAGTACTGCCTGTGTAGCCAAAGCTGTATCTTATTCTTCTGCGCCATAAACCTCAATTGTTGTCCATAAACTATTAAAAACACTGAGCAACACCTTTATCCTGGGTGTCATGTTTTTTAATTACTATGAACATGTGCATTGCATTTGTTTTAAATCCCACATACACTGCTGTAAATGCCCAAAAAAACTCTTTATTTTCCGTGAGAAACTTAATTAGTGTAGTGGACAAATACGACAAATACAACAATCACAGACTGTCATGGCCATGATTGGTTAATCATTGTGTGCAGCCATGATACATGCAATATATACCGAGTTCACATACAAATTAAGATACAAAGCTGATAAAAACAACAACAAATGTGCAACAGTGCTACTGTGCTTTAGTGCTGATGTTCATGTACGTGTGTGTGTGTGTGTGTGTGAGTGTGTGTGTGTGGGTGTTCAATAGATAGATAGAGTTAGTTAGTTAGTGTAAGCTCCTAACAAATGCACTATATACACTCCTGTCTGAGTAAAATTTCCTGAAAACCAACTGATTTAGAAAATTACAGAGGCTTTCTAAAAATGAAATAATATGTTTGTGACCCATTTTTTCATTAGAGACACACTAACACATTGTTGGTTCTGGTCAATGGTTTAATTAAGAACAGATTTCTATTCTTGGACTACAGGCTTTGTGCAACACACTGTACTGGTACAATATACCTCTTGTCCATTTTCTGAGATCTCCTGTTCCTTATCCTCAATGACGTCATCCTCCGCTGCCATGCCATGAAGATCGTAGCATACAGCCAGTTCCGGTGAGCTGAGTTCTGTGTCAGATGGACTCAAAGATCGCTCTGAGGAAGACCAGTGGGAAAAGCATTCATCACAGGCCAACCAGCACAGAGAATTAATATAGAAATGTATAATCCATGTATAATCCTACATGGTATAAAATTGTTTAAACTGGTTTGTTGCCAAACCTATGCCATTCTGTTCCTGTGTGTCCTCTCCATTTGTGATGCCATTTGTTGACAGGATGACAGTCTCATGTTTGATTTCTTGACAAATTGGTCCGGCATCTGAAATAATGACTTTGTTGTAATATTTTGCCATTTTGTAACATATTAGTGTTATTAATAATTATAATAATGTATTTTTAACTTTTAGAGAGCTACAGTACATCATTTAAAAATACACTGTTTGTGACAGTGTAACAATACTACTACAAAACTGTAAGTCAAGTCCAAAAAACAGGATACAAGAACAAGATGGCTACCTGTGACTGTTGACTCTTCCTCTTTTTCCAATACCTCAGCAGACTCAGCAGGGGCCTGACTGTCTTCTGATTGGTCATTCTCTTCTCCATCTTCCTTTGCCTCCTCTTCCTCCCATACCACTTCCACTGGCTGCTCCATTGATGCAGGCTCAGCATCTTGTTTTAATCCCTCCTTCTTTTCCTCCTTGTCCTTTTCCTGCTCCTCATTCTTTTCCTCCTCCTCTTGCTCCTCCTTGTCCTTCTCCTGCTCCTCATTCTTTTCCTCCTCCTCTTGCTCCTCCTTGTCCTTCTCCTGCTCCTTCTGCTCCCCCTGCTCCTCCTGCTCTTCCTCCTTTTCCTCCTCCTCTTGTTCCTCTTTGTACTTCTCCTGCTCCTCCTGCTCCTCCTCCTTTTCCTCTTCCTCCTCTCGCTTCTGCTCCTCTGCTTCAATCTGGACTGGTTCTGTGATGACAGCACACAGCTGTGGTTGTCTTTCAGCCACATCTTCCTCGTGCTCCTCCACATCCTCTTCCTCATCCTCCTCCACCAGTACAGCCTGTACTTTGTAGCCAATGTCTGAGACCAGCTCAGTGTGCACATGAGTGGCTGTGTTGAGGTCTGTTGATTGAAAAATTATAGAATTAAAAACACAACAGTGCAATCGATAAGCTTACATGTTGTAAATGTGCAGATGAAGACATTGTATGTCTAGGGTACAAAAACTAAACTATAAAGAATGCAAAAGCCTGCTTCTCTGGGTGCACATTACAGTTACACTTGGCATGACAAAGAGTCTATGTGGTTACTATAGGAATATTTAATTGTGACTGGACTGTAAAAATATTCTGAGCTCTGTCATTTCAACAGGCCACTGATTCATAGTGCCTGGCCTGCTTTACACAGTCTGGGGTATGTGGTGTGGTTTTTGGCAGAAGCATCTAAGTCAATTTAAACTGTAATAAAAATGTTTAACAACCACTATTTAATGTCTGACAGTTAATGTCTTTGGCAAACAAATGAGCAATAATTGTGGTAATATGCTCTTCTTCACATTGCACCATCACAGTGAACAGGCACTACTTTGAAGATTAATTAAAAAAAGGAAAAATATGACAACATTGTATAATCAGATCCCAATACAATTATTTGTGTCCTGTTCCACCATACCTGTGTCTGGCTGTGGTCTCTCTGGAAGAGGAGCTGTTGGTGCCTGTGGAGCTGAAACTGGCTCGAAGCAGAAAGCTGAGTGCTCTGGCTGTGTTGGGGTATTTGGGGGAGAGTCAGGTAGGGCCTCTTGATGTGACTGAGGAGGGTTTCTTTTTACTGTACTGGTAGACAAGGAAGCCAAAAGGCTAGGGGAGGCCGGAGGTGCAGAAGGTTCTGTGGGTGATTGGGGCTTGGGCTCAACAACAGCCTGAACTTGGTTGTTAGTTTGTGGCACACTTGGCAGGCCTGAGACTGGAGGGGTAGGGCGCAAAGGTGATGTGGGTGGTGACATGGGGGCTCTGGGCCTTTGTGGAGAGGTGACAGGCCGGAAGTCAGGGCTTGTGGGGGGAGACATGGCACGGTAGATGGGGGAGGGAGGAGCACGGGAGAAGGGGGAGACCAAGGGAGAACTGCGAGGGGAGGATGCCGTGCTCTCTTCTGCTTTAGAGAAGATGAAGGCTGTGTCTGTCAGGCTGCGCTGGTATCGTCTGAACGGTTTGCCTAGAGAGAAAGAAAACAGTCTGTGAGTCGTGAAACTGAAAGAATACACACTGTACCTCCAAAAACTTCCAACATCTGGGCCTTCAAGTAAACACATGGTAGCATCACTCTGTTCAAGCTCCCGCACAGTACATACCAGAGCGGGAGGATCCAGGGCTGGTGGGACTTTGTGATGATGATGATGAAAGCTGCCTGAAGAACTCCCTAGGGTTCATCGAGCGTTGGGACACTAATGCTGCTGCCTCCTGCAGGTCAAGTAACGTACAGTATGCACAAGAAATTGAGATGATTAAACAGACTTAGCTAGTTACATTTTTGGAGCTAATCCAATATTAGCCATTAAGTTTATATAATGTTCACTTACTGCTGCTTTCTCTATGGATTCACTCCTTCTAAGACGAGCCCTCATATGTTCCTCATGCTCCCTCTGCTGCTGCTCCTGTAGGTGAAAACACAGTAATAATCATATTTACACATGCTTTAAATATCTTAAAAGCAGCTCACACAGCACTTGAGACTTATGAAACTTGAGTGTTTTGACATTTAGCCCTAATTAATGATACAGACATTAGTGCTCATTCCAAATATGGCAACCACCAGTCACTGCTGACACAAAGCAATACCTTGCATGTACTTTTAGTCTTTTGGACATCCCTGACATCTGCAAACCCCTTACTACACACACCCTCACCTCTCACAAATATAAATATACTGTAAGCAGTCTACACTCATAATACCCAAGCTCAGCTTAGCAAACATACAGCTCATCTCCAAAACAAGACAAGACATTTTTCTCTTATTCTTGTTTATAGTAACATCTGGTGTGATAGCTAATATTTCAAAACACATCATATGTATTGTATTGTCACATTTTAAACGTGGTAGCCACAACCGAGGAGTGTTATATTCAACATACTCTATAACTGCATGTCAAAATGCCAATAAGTCTGTCATGTCTTGTTATTTTAAGCCCTTTATATGCATAGCAACCATTCACAGACTTTGACAAGGATTCAGTGACAGGTTAAGTTGTTTGTTTTCAGATGTAAAATTGAAAATCCCTTAAATATCTTACTATAAACAGAATGATCAGCAGTGGATTAATAGTCATCTTTCCCTGTAAACTTAAATCAGCCTACTGTTGACTTTGTTCATGTAGCAGTAAATGCATTCTTCTCTAGACATCAGCAAATGTTGTGGCCGACAAGAGAGGCCCTTGCGGGTATAATATAGTACTGTCCTCAGAAACAATTACAGTTTTAGAATCAGACCTAACACAGCCCAAGGTCAATCGGTCCTTTCTCACAACTCTCAGCTTCATAGTTTCTGTCTTTACTCCTGTAATGTGAGTGGTCAGTTGTACACACTTGGGAAAAATGTGTCCTTTTCTGAAGTTCACATGAAACTTTGGTAACAATTATTCAGGATGGGCTGCTTCTACACCCAATGACACTTTTTGGCATTATCACAATGACTTCAAGTAAATTATTCAGTATTGAGTATGTTTCTTCAGTATGGGTAGCAGTTTCTGTCACTGATACAGTAGATAATGTAGATGTGAGAAGCACCAAGCTACAGATTATTAATATACTGTATTTCCTGGACAACAGAAAGGGACCGAGCTTTACTGTAATTTTCTGGGAAAGGTTGCTTTTATCTGGTTTATCATGTCTCAAATTTTGAATTACATTCCCTGTTTTTAGAATAGTAAGTGACAGTTATTTGATTAATCACAACCCTAGAGGATGTAGCCAATCTGGGGTAATTTAAAAACCAGTGGTTTGCATGTTATTCAAGCACATTTTGTATTACTGCCAAACATTTTCCAAATCATACCGTAATTGATTTCTTACCTTTTAGGCGGCCATTGGTTTCTGTTAATTTCAGTCTAGTGACTCACTTTGCAGGGACTTGAAAGTTCATTGGGATAGGTAATCCATCACAATGAAGCTAAGTGAAGCTATGATCACGTGCCAGTTGAAAAAAGAGACTGATTTGAAAGATGTCTGTTAAGTAGACTTAGACATCTGGAAAATGAGAGTTCACTGTTGGTTAACAACCTTTCTTACATTACATTACATTCATTTTAATTTAAATTTACAAACACATTAAACTACCATTATCATGATTAAGGTACAACCCTCTCTACCACCTGAGCTATAGCTGACCCATCTTTTAATGTGAGTCATGTTTGTTTATTATTTGTCTGTGTTTTATTTTTGACCACATGTGGGGCCAGTTAGATGGGTTACAAAGACAGATGAATAGAAGTAGTAGTCAAACTTCATATACGCGTTTAAATTCATCCATTGCACAAAGCTTCTTGACCATCTGACTTAAAGTCCCCCTCCAGTTTTTTCCAGTTCCTACAGTTGGATGTTTAAGCTTCACTGTGCATAATGAAGCACGTGCTGTTCTGCTCCTTCAATAACTCTGCACATGGTGAATTATAAAATTGTTATACTCTCATTGCATTGTCAAACTTTTAAAACTTTGCAGACTTGTCAAATGTATATATTATTTTATCCTATGTTTAAATTTTATATTTAAATCTTTTAATGCTTTCTATGTTTTGTGTATTCTGGTATATTATTTCTATTGTATATTTTATAGATCCTCACTTTATATCTTATTATATTCATGCAGTATGCTATGTTTTACACTCTATTTTGAGTTATTTGTTGTGTTTATTTTCTTGTGTGTAGAGAAGGGCCCTCTCTGGTCTTTCTCTCTTTGAAAGGGGATTTATGACTAGAATATTTTAGAATATTTTTCCTGCCTTTTATGCTTTTTAAGCCTTGACCAATTTTGTGTTTTTATGATTTTGTTTCTTTTCCGGTTTTTCAATCTATTAATGTGTCTATAAGAAAGAAATATGATGTCAGACATAAAACAGAAGTGAGTCAATTGAATTATTAATTAGTAATAGATTTATTTACATGAATATGTTCTATCTATCAGAGGGTCAGTGAGTTCAGGGCAGTCAAACCAAACTCCAAGGCCAAAGAGTCCATTTTGCACTAGGTAAAAACCATTTAAAAAGCATGGCTCTAACACTTTTGCTAAAAGGACATTTTATAAAAACTATGAAATTCTAGCAAGATACAGATATCTTTTTACTCACCCATCTTGATTTCTCTTTTCTGCGTAGTTCTTCTTGTTGCTCTGCCTGTTTTCTTCTGCAAGACAGAAAAAGAAATAAAATAGCAACATTTATTATTGTTATCCAAAAATCATTATCCAAAATACAGTGCATTTACTGTGTATGTGAATAGAACTCTGTTCTTCCAATCTATACAAAATATAACCACTGGAGGGCACTATTGACAGGAGACAGACGTTATTCCTACCTCTGCTCCTCAATCATCTGTAGCTTTTCGTTCATCTTTCTATCTCTTTCTTCTGCATCCCTCCGTTCCTTTAAAACTCTTTCTTTTTCAAGGCGGCGTCTCTCCTCTGCTGTTCTTCTCCGCTCCTCTTCTTTCCTCTCTTCCTCTTCACGCTGACACACACACAATGGGAAACAGTGAGAGAATATATTATACTTTAATTTCACTTTCAAACAAAAAATTCACCCCAATAGCTTTCCAAATGTAGATGGTAGTAAACATCAGGCTTAAAAACATTTTGGACACTCAAATGTGACCAAGTAGAGAGGAGAATACTTTGGCATACCTCTGCACGTGCCCAGAAGGAGTCTCTGTTTATTAGTCTTATCTCCATTGCGGCATTAGTTTTTCTGTAGTTTGTACCCTGTAAGAAAAACAAAAGAATATCGAATGCTTAAACTTTCCAATATTGCTTACAGGGGCATTTTTATATCACTGAACTATATTGTATAATTTTCAGTAAACTTAAAACCTTTTCAAATGTCATATTATTTCAATAATTTTAGGAGTAGGACTGAATAAACATACTGGAAGACTGATGCCACTGAGGATTTAACCTGCAAATCAATCTGTTACAATGTCTTTTGAAAGTCTCTGTCTCCATCTGATGGTCCGATGAGGTATTGCGGGAGACTCACCACTAATTCCTCCTTGTCCGCAGACCTGGAGCTCCTTCTCACCCACTGTGTAGGAGTATGTGCCTGGGCCTTGCTGAGCTCCATTCTTATGTTCTCCTCTGTCACATCCTCAACCTTCTCTGCACTAATGAACACGTGTGCTTCCTGAAACATGGAGGGCAGGGAATGAAAAATAGATGGCAAGTAGAGTAAAGCAGATGTGAATTTAATCCACCCTTACATGGTGTACTGTTGCCACACACACACACACAATCACACACAAGGCTAGAAATCCATACACAAGTACACACAGTCACGCTGGTGGTTTTCTCTTGGTCTGACTTGGAGTTATGCAAACTTGGAGCCAAACAGTTGTGCAACTGCTTCAGTTATAAGGATTGAGAGAGAACAAAAATACTCCCTGGCTTTAGTGTGAGGACAGGAATGCATTGGTTTGGATTGTTATAGATAGCAGAGGGGGAGATGGGAAAAATAGAAAATAGGGAGTGCAATAGGGAAAGTGAGAAGAAGAGGGTGTAAAAGCATGGCTCTTTGCAAAAAGGTAGAAAAAAACATTTGCTCAATACCTGGTAGTCAAGCTTAAGGGAGATTCAGAAATATGAAAATAGACAGATCATATTCAACCACAGACCAAAACATATTTTTCCACTGCTGCGATTTCTATGGGATGGATAGGTGTTAAATGTGGGCTGAACTTGTATACTGTACAGGCATTTGTATGTGGCCAGGACGTCAGCATAATTTCCATGGAGAGTAAGTTCTGGTTTGTTGATGGAGGGCCAGGTCTGTCAGCCTCCAACAGGAAACCACAGCTTTATCTGAGTGACAACGCTGACACTGACACTGAACAGAGCATTCAATGTGCCCTATAATACATGTCAGTACAGTGTATAATCCATATCACTCTAGTTGTCACTGCCAACTGCACACACACAGAGCAGACAAGCAGTCCACAGTGCTGCCAGGGATGCTGGGAAAATCATGGAAACAGACAGAACCACAATCTACAGGAAAAGCTCTCAGTAGCATAGTGCACTGTTCAGTTCTGCAAGTGCAGAAAATCACTATGTTTGCCCAATACTGACACCACCGCTGCATCCACATGCAGTGGAATTCATTAAGAACAAGAAAAAGTGCCAAGATTAGCAATAGTATCACTCGTCCTCAAAATAAATGTGCTCACTGTACTTCATGGTAGTTCATATGAAAATGGCAAATGGATATTATTAACACGCACAGTTCAGACACCTGTATGAAGGTGACTTTAGCAGACTGACAAACTAACATAAAACAGATAATAGCTCACACCTTTTTCGTAACAAAACATGGCTGAGAGTCATCAACATAAACTCTTTTTTTCCCTTATGTTTTAACATGTAAGCCAGTGTGTTAAATAAATCCCCATCCTCTCAGTCTCACACCTTCCCTTCATTGTTCTTTTCCCTCTTATTTTCAACCTGTTTCAACCCCATAAGATGTTTTGGTGTACATGTAATGGGTTCACAAGTGCCAAACAGAAAGCTTTAGTCTTTTATTTGTTGTATTTGAGTTCACAAATAGCTTCAGTACTAAGCTGCTCTATTTAGGCAAATGTGTCAAAATCCCCCCTATCCATGCGCTAGATATTTTCATAACAGCCAAGTGGGATATGGCATGTGAAGCAACCATCTTCTGAGGATGCTTGGCATTGATGACCTTGGCAACGAAAAACTGGCTATGGGTATACGAATATAACCTCTCTGGAAGGAAAAGGAGCCCAAGGAAAGGTGATGTGACAGGTCGAGAGTTACAGTACCAGCTTGATATAATTGTGCTCAACTCTGCACAGACTGTCTGCTCTGGAACCAAACTGCAACTCATACAGTCTCTCTCTTACTCAGGAGTTGTTCAAACTGTGAGAGGCAGTAGGTGGATATAGTCAAGTGTCCCCAGATGCATTATGACCCAGTTGACTGATGGGTACTCTTGATAAATGGGATTATTTGGATGTAGAATCTGAATTTAGATTTTGTATTTACATTCTTAGCTTAACCATTGCTGTTTTGAAAATGTTTACTTTTCTTCAAATGGAAAAAAAGAAGGTACCTTGATTCATGAACAGCAAGATGAAATTCAATAATACATTCATAGTGTATTATGTTGCTAAGAAAATATATTTGCATTTGCATTTGTAATGAAAGCCCCTCAGTTGGAATATGACAGAAGGAGTAATAGGGGGCTTTTCTGGTTGACATGAAATGAAAGCTTCTGTTCCCAAGTTTGTGTCAGGGCGAGATGACAGATTTGAATGATCTAAAGTGCTTCAGGGTTTAGTCCCTTGACCCGATCATGTTGCTTTATTCCTTATTTACAATAGAATAGTGTTCTTTGTTGCAATCCAAATCTCCTGCTCCACCTTAAAAGACATTGGGCTTGTGCCAGGCTGTCATGTGGCCAAATATGGGTTGTAATATGTTTGATGAATTAAAGATGGATTTTGTTAAAAAAAAAAAAAAGTTAGAAAAAATTCAACCTTTTTTATGTCTTCATTTCCATTTCTTACATATGACAACTGTATATCAGATACTTTTACATCTACCTTCTGAACCCCTCCAGCATATCACTCACAGTATCAACTAATCTAATGCCCCTACACACAACACACACACACACATACACACACACACACAGCCTTTTTGACTTAACTTTAATCTCCTATTATTTCAAGGGAAATGTAGAACAATGGAAACATCTGGACCCTATTCATATTTTAGCAATGCCACACCGGAGTACAGTATGTAACATACCCAAATCTGCTGCTGCAGACTCGCCTTGACAAAACCCCCTCACTGCCAGCTGGGACATGCAGCATAGCAAGCCAGAAAGACAGAGACAAAGTGAAAAAAAGTAGGAAAGAAAGAAGGAAGAAACAAATAACAATCTAAAGTGCCAAGTGAAATTCTAACTGTATCAAAGACAATGAAAGCCAATATTCTAAGAATACAAGTAAATTGAGCCCAGGCTGCAGCTCGGCATCACGCCAAAGCGTCTAACACACCTGCCAGTCCATGGTGGCAGTGTCTTGTTTTTCCTTGCCTAGGCGTGAAAACACTCTTCCATTGCTCCCATCATTAACGCCCCCTGCTGGTACTGCACCTTCATACACTCATGTACTTTTCACACCTAGGCGAGGCAAAATGTGACACTGACAGTATCCTTCAGTGGATCGACGGGTGTATTACACACATAGGCATGATGCTGGCCTATGTCGATTATCTCAGTAGTTTTGTTATCGCAAGTCAGATAGGATTTTAGCTCAGAGTCAGGGTTGTTTAGGGCTGTGGCATCTGTTTATTTTGTGGACAACAGTAAATTGACAAACAATAGTTTTTTTTGTCCAACCTACAGTTTCTTAGAGATTCTTTTTTGCTGATAGACTAATCGATGAATTGGCTATTAATTAATAAGTCAACATTATTTTGCCACTTGGTTTTAATGGATTAGACACAGGATCAATGTATGAAACATGCAATAGAGGTGATTTGGTGCTTGTTAAGGTCTTCAAGTATAAACACTGGTATCAGTTTGTATAAATATTCAGTTCCATACTGTGTCACTTAATTTTTGCCAGGTGGCTATGAAATCCCACAATCCTGGGTAACTAAAGATAAATAGAAACTATAAAACACACCAGTTTGAGTAATCGTTTTTTAAAGAATTTATCACACACCAACCCCAGATGATTTCCCAGACAGAGGTATGACGCAGACTGCTGTGCTGTTTTACAAGCTTCCCGTGATGTTTAAATCATTCTTTTCCAGCATATGAAGTCTTCAAAAATGTCTGTTCATGGACAATGTACATGTTGGGAAAGGTGACTAAAGACGATTACATGGCCAAGTGTGCTGGCAAAGCTAGAATGAACAGAAGACGGAATAGCACAGTTATGTATCATCACCATAGTCTTTAGGTCAGGATATACAAATGCAATCCATATGCTTTACTAATCAATACAAATTTGAACTGCTGAGCAATGGAAAATCAAACTTAAATTTAATTTCCAATTCTTACTGTCAGACTGTTCAGTCCTTATTTAAAATAAATTGTTTATGTTCCCTGTTTTGTAATGTTCACAGAGAAGTGGGTTAGCAGTCACAGTAGTGACCACAGGTTAATTTCATTGTCATGATGCAGGTCTGGCCGTGAAATGTGTGTTTGCTGAGGTTAAAGGTCACAATTCTCTCACAATTACAGATGGAGATACGATTTTCTTTACTCCATGCCATATTGACCATGTAAATGTTTCTCTACAATTTTGGAATCCCACATGAAAAATGTCCAGAGGCCCAAGGGTGCTCACACACACACACAGTCTCATAGAGGGGTTAGGGGCTTTCATACAGTGGCTCACAGAATCCGAGAATCGACATTCACTGTTTAAAAAAAAGACAAAAAACAACAAACATTCCACAGATTCCTTCTGCAGTTGACTGGGTGATGCCTTTATATGGAAACTAGTAAACCTAGGGGTCAGCTGAACCTCTCCAAGTTAGATTGAAACTAAATAATCACAATTTGAGGGGCACAGATGGAGAGGAGAAGTTGCAGCATGGTGATGGATAGAGTGTCTCATATACTGAACACATATTTTCAAAAATACACACTTGCACCTGAATCATAAAAATACACTGACAGTTTTTATTCTCTATTCGCTCTACTTCCTGTCTCACCTATCACCACTTGAGTTTCACTCAAACCTAGCTATTCTCCCCCGGTAGCAATACGGCAGACAGACCAGTCTAACACAGGACACTGCAATAGAACAGGAAGTGGACTGAGGACAGGAAACTCTCAAAACAATACAAAGTAAACTACTGTGTGTAAATATAGAGTTTGGGAGCGCAAAGTCTAGAGTCCAAGGATAAAGAAAATAGAACAGGACACAACATATTCTCTATAGCAGGGATCTATAGCTGTTATTATGTTTACAGTGTTTTTATGTACTCTACAGCTTCTGTCCCTCTTCAATGTGAAAACTGTCACAGCTTAAATAAAGCACAGTTTAGTGCGGAAACCAAATTAAAAGACTACTGGATGAAGTTCATATTAGCACGTGCCAGTTCCAAAGGTTAGTGTTAAGTGAATAAGCACATCTTGATCTACTGTACCTTGAAGAAGTTTTTGATGGCTGGAATGTGGCTGGCACATTCTGTCCTTCGGTAGTCCTCCACATGTTGGCCGACCTGCAGGCAAACACAGGATGTAGACACTTACATTCATATCATACCTCTCTCGGAGGAGACTAAAAAAAGAGGAGGAAGAGAGGCTGAGGAACAATGGGATTCACATTTCTGTAGTTGAGTCTAATCCGTGTTTCATAAAATAGATAATTTGGTGTTGACTCGCTGAAAACATTAAAGCTCAAATATTAAGTTATTATGAGGTATATTTACAGCATATCATCATAGAATGCAGCTTTATCTTGTGTGGTCTATGTCCGACAGAAGCTTCATCATAAACTGACATTTTTATCCAGTTTTAAGCCATAATTGAGTGCAGACAGCAACATTGTAAACCCCAGCATCTGTTTCTTGGACTCATTTATGACCAGGCATATGTGTATATACTATATCTGTCTTTCTATGATTATGCATGAGCTTTTATCTATGCTGTGGAAAAGGTGGGTTTTCAACCAATCTGGGCACTGGCAATCTGCCTGTTTAACGCCTTTAAATGATCAGATATGGACCCCAATGATCATTTGAGGGCTATTGCACATTCTGCATGCCCTGTGATTCATAAGGTTTTGTAATACAATTACGTAATAACACATTCTCACACGCATTTTCCCACATGTCAGATGCCAAATAAGCCTGTGTCAAAACAGGACCATACAATGTGAATAAGCCAAGTGGCTTAGGATTTTCTCCAATGACTTTGCCTTATCTAAACGAATGCAAACCTTTGTGTGTGTGTGTACCTGCCATTATCATAAGTATGTGCAAAGCATGTATGTGTGTTTTGGTAATTTATGCTGGTATGTGTGTTTCTTTAACATAAGCTCATGCTTACATGAGCTAAGCCCCATGAGCCTGTCTGCCACTCACCCAGCTGATCATAGCAATCCGGGGGGCTCCTGTCTCCATACTTCCCACTTTGCACAGTCCATATTGAGGCTTGGAGATGTGAAACTTCCCTGCCAGCTCTGCCACACCACCCGCTGTTAGAAAAGAGACAAGAGATTGGGAGGAAATTGAGGAGGAAAACAGAAAATGGAGACAAAAATATGCTACAGTTTTTATCAGCAGGAAATTTTAAGAACGTTCTATATTATTCTCTCAATACAAGAGGCATATGACAGTCCACCTTACCTCCTGAGTCAGCCAGTTTGAGCTTGTTGGTAATTCCATCATATGCGAATATTGCCCTGTGGACATACAGACACACAGAAAGGTCAGCTGCTGAGAAATGTGGATTATAAAGATACGTTAAACTTGTAATGTCTTTAGTGTTGGAAAAAAATTAAACAAAAGACAGGTTAATTTTCTACTAGACTAGACGATTACTTGTTTGATTTTTGTATGCCCAAGAGTAAAGGATCATCCAATTTTCATATCCAAGCATGTAGACAGCTGGGTACACCATGTGTTCAGTCTTTCATTGTGGGGGACACACACAGACACGCACACATGCATAGCCAGATGTTTTACTGCACATACTTGTCTAAACCGTAAAAAGCTTCCCTACAGTGCGAAGCATCTCTACAATGCACCAACAAAAATGAATTCTCTTCAACTGTGACACATGCACTTGTTCACTTCTTTCTATCTCCCCTCCTGCCCTTGTTTCCCAGAGGCCTTTAAAGTACATGTGTAAAACAGAAAGGCACTCAGCAGCACAATAACCTTCATTCATAGTGCTCCTGAATGTGAAATAAATGCAGCCAGCGCTGTTCACAGCGACAGGGTTTTTGACATTTTGCAGGTGAAAACCTGTCCTACCGCACCCTTCAGTCAGTCAAACTGCAGGTCACTGTGGCAACTCAACAACATGATGTGTTTCCATGAGACCACTGAGATACAACTCTACTGCTGAACAAACTAAGTGCAGACCGATTGTTTAGAGATGGATTTCAGTACATATCAGTATATGTTAGCTTTGTTGCAGAACCTCCAAGGCAGAGATGTGTGACCGCATGATCAACCCAAAAGAAACAAACCAAAAGATAAATGGGATTCTTACTTTGCTACTTATTGGGCTACGCATCTTCATGGCTGTTGTCTACTCGACTAGTTTAGAGTCCAAAATGATTCCCATACGTGATTGGACATGACATGCTTCTAACATAATTCTGATTCATGTGTGTGTTTGAAGCACAACTGGGGGTAAATGTGTTTCTGAGTATAGGTCACTTTACGAGGTTGCCTGCAGACAGAAGAACTGTCCAAGCTTTAAAGGACTGTGCATGTGTCTCTGTGTGCACACATATGTGCACGTGTCTGTGTCTGCCTGTGTGTCTGTGTAAATTTCTCTCTGTAGGACTCCTGGGGATGTGTCAATAACATCTGGAGCTGGGTAGCGAGAGCATAAGGCCATGAGCAGCTATTACAATGGGCCAAAGGTGAATGGTCTGTGTGTGTGTTTGTCGATGTGTGTTGAGAGTAGGGAGTGAGTAAGAGACAGTGAGAATGAGACCCAGAGACACAGAGAAAAAGAGAAAGTATTAGTTTAAAATATTTTAGATTACTTTTAAAAAAATCTACAGTAAAAACAGCAGCGGTTTGGCATAGAGGCTGCCAACAAGCCAGCTAACTCCATCTCTGAATCACTCTGTTATTTTTTCCTGATACAACAAGTCTCTGTGTGTCCAAAGAGAACAAAGAGCGACAAAAGTCAGTCAGTATGTGTGTGTGAGTGTGCTGAGGAGACAATAACCATATTGTACGCCCTATTGAGCAAGCTGCATGTTGGCCCGGCATGTGTGAGGAGGCAGGCTGACACTGCTCTTTCATTTTCTTATTCACTGATAATGCTGACAAGTGTTTACTGTATATTGATCTTGTCATCAAGCAAAACCAAGTATTATTAAATAAGATTTTGTTCACAATTCGTTGAAACCTTCTCTGGGGCTCCCCAGCATAACATGAGCCTTGTGTCACCCAGATCATTCATATATCTTTTCAGGGATTAGTCTTAGAACAATAACTAATAGAAAAAACACACTCCACTCCCTCATTAGCTTTACCAGCATCCAGAGTTTAGACACCAATCCAGATTTACTGATCCTTGGTCCATAAGACATTCCTAAAGGTCACCATTCACAAGCAGTCAAGGTCAAAGGTCATTGTGCCTCTGAAGGAGTCTTAATTGCATGTGCAAATTCTCCACCCACAGGGAACAGGCTTGCACACGAGGATACACTGTGCTGTAGGAGACTCTTTGTTCTGCCAGAGCTTTTGCTTAGATGGAGTTTGGAAAGATCCTATTTTCAAGCATTTTTCTCCTCAGGACTTTACTTAATCCCTGTCTTGGATACTAACAAGGCCAACAGGTTTACACATGCAATGATTTACAAAAGCAACCAAAATCAGAAATGGTTAAAATCTATTAAATCTGTGTTAGAGGAGCACACATAGGGTCCGGACCTGACCCCTTTAATAAACTTGATTACGCTAAAGTATTTGGAAGATCCATCTCTCTCCTCTTGTCTGCCTTAAGGAAGAGCACATATCTCCAAAATGAACTGGCACAATAAAGTTTATTGAGGGGATCAAAATACCATCCTGAACTTTTTTTTTTACTTTTTTTGAATCTCATTTTAAGGACTGTTCATTCCTGCGATGGTTTTATGAAAAAGATTATCCACATGGTTGAAATTTAAATGAAATCTGCTATTACAGTATTTCTTTGGTTCAGTGAATACGCCACAGGATATAATACATTCTCGTTGCTGACATGAAATGAATGGATTATCTTTTGATGAGAAGGGCTGCAAAAGTTCCCAGTTCTGGATGTTAGATGTTTTTTAAACTCCGCTTCTACTACACTGTTATTTAGTGTAATAGAGGCTAATGTCAAACCCTGTGGTAAACCACTGATTGATAATCTGTACATGCCAGCAGTTTGGTGTATTGAGTGTGGTTCAGTTCAGTTCCCCCTCTATATTAATTGTGCAGACGGTTAGGGTTCAAGCTCACATTACAAGTGTATTCCCTGCTGAAGTGTTTTCGAGCAAAACAGTGAATCCAAAGCAGTTTTTACACTATTCTATAGCTGACCCATGGTATGCCACAGCTAAGGAAGCTTACTGGATGACAACTGGATGTCTTTTACTCTCTCTCTTTTTATCTGCCCCACTGGATTAGCTCTGTAATGCAGTTGTAGTAGCAGCCATTAAACTGTTGTAGTAAAAAAATAAAACTTTCTTAACTAACAGAGAAGTAGACCCCATTCCTTCACACAAGTAGGTTTCTTGAGAGCTACACTGACTGATGAGAAAAACAGACTCTCTTATGTCTTTACTCCAGCCCACCTCCAAACTCAGCCAGCTATGACCTCAGCTCTGAGAGAGGGAGGGACAGAGGGTGGAGAAGAGAAGAGAAGAGAAGAGAAGAGAAGAGAAGAGAAGAGAAGAGAAGAGAAGAGACATTTATATATGTAGAGAAAGAGGCCATCATTAAGGGGAGTGAGGGGCATGAAAAGGGGAGAGGGTGAGTCAAAGAGAAGGAAAAACAATGATGGCATGATCTGAAACAGCAACTTTTTAAAGTAATGAACAATGAGAAATCTGTGCATCATTACCAAAGCCAGCCACTTAATGCAGCTATGAAACAAATAAACAGCCATTTATTATGTATACAAAGACAAAGGCATATGTAAAGTATATAATCACAGACATGCACACTCAAACACAAGCACATGCGCACACAGTATACTATAAGCTTCAGCCAGTAACAATAGTGATGGTTTGTTTTGGACTACTAGAGAATCTGTAATACCTCCAAACATGCAGCACTCTACCATTTCAAAATGAACATAACAGAAGCAGATGGTGAGCTGTGCTGGATAAGGCCTTGTTTTCACTTATCCAGGCATTTCACTACACCAGCCTAAACTGTGAACCATCTCAGTGTGGTAATATGTGGGAAATACTTAAACACAATGTACACACTTCTCTTCTATCAACATTTCTAAAGAGACTTAGGGAGATTCTCTTCCCCTGTAATCTCTCTTGCAATTTTGTTTTGATGCTCTTAGGGACTGCATTTCACTTTACTTGTGCGTTGTTATAAAGTAAGAAAATATGAATGAGATATGAGAACATATTTTGGGCCCCAGAACCAATAACCATTTCTCATATTCCTTGTTCACTTAACCATCTCTACTCTCTCCATATATTCTGTTGATATCTCACCATCATTACTACTCTAAATTCATTATTCTGACCCCCGTCTCCTACAACACATATTTCTTTCCCTCCTACTTTAAATCCTGTAGCACAACATACCTCTTTCACAAACTGAAGCAATATCTCATCCTCATCTTTTCTCCCCCGACTCTCTACTTCCTACCCTCTGTGTCTCCCTGACAGGAAGATCATGTGGGCTCAGAGGTCATTTATTCATTCCATCTTTGCCAGTGGGGGAGATATGAGAGATTTGTGGTTATGCACACTGTTGCGATATGATAAACTGCGCATGAAGAGAAAGATATGAGAAAATGGATGAGAGGCTGGGAGCTCCCAATAGATTTCACTGCCCAGATTAAGCTCTCCATCAGATCATTCATCTGCTTCTTTTTCTCTTGCTCTTCCCCTTCCACATATTACACACACATCCCCAGTGGTCCCACCAACTCTCATGAAACATTTGTCAAGACCTGTGATTTTAACATTGCTTCTTTTGAATATGTATTTCATGCTCTACCCTCTATCAGGGGTGTATTTTCATTACATCTACCTTTCCACAAGCTTCTTTCTGTTCATTTCATTTTACATCATGTGTTTTTACTCCCTTCCCCCCTCAGCCGCCCAACTCCTTGCTCTTGGCTCAAAGCTGACCTGGGCTTCCAGTGCTATTTTTAGCCTGTCTCCCTGTCTACCTCTCTGTCTGTGTCGGAGCGGGGAACTCAGAGACGTCCCCACAGCACACAGCGCTCATTTCCTCTCGCCAAACATGGGCAAAAAAGTCCAGCCAGACTCCACTGCTGAATAAGTCAGCCCCCCCACCCCCTGTCCGGCATGTTACTCATATAATGTCCATGCGGCGACCCCAGTGGTACACGCATTCCTCTGTCCGTCTGGACAGCAGAGAGATGTGGAGGTTTATTGAGAAATGTGAGTAAGAGAGAGGAAGTGACAGAATGAGAGGCTAACGGAGCATTAAGAGGAGGAGAATTAGAAAAAGGAGAGAATAGCATTACATTTTT